AGAGCCAGGCGAGTTAAGTATGGCGTTGGTTGAGGTACGAGTTATTGTGTTAGGCTTCTTAGTTGTAGTTTTGCAGTTTCGTACTGCGAAGTTCGTGTGCAGTTTAGTACTGCAGAGTGTGTCGCGATTTGATCGAGTGGAGCCACGATGGCAGACCTTCAAGTGGTCGGAGGTATCAAGAAGCTAAATAGTCAGAATTACAACACGTGGTCGACATATATGGAGTCGTATTTGCAAGGCCAAGATTTGTGGGAGATTGTTGTTAAGTTGGGTACACACACAACACGTGGATACTAACGTAATTACTTTATTAGATTAACAAAATAATTACACGAACACACACTAAGGCTAAAATACAATACAACCTAAACACTTTATTTTATTAACACAACCACTCACACTTAATTTTTTTTTTTATGTAGACATGTCCTCACAACTCACACATGTGACACAATCTCACTCACTCTTTTATTTTTATAAACATTCACCTCACTCATTTCTTTTCTTTTGTTTTGATCCCTCAGCACACACAACTCTCTTTCTACACATATATTTATACTTACGTAGGATGATTCTAGACTAGATTATCTTATTCTTTAATTAGTATTAGGTGGCAAATTAATATGTAAACTTTCTCCACTCATCCAGAAGCTTCCCAAAGTTGGTGGTGATATTTTTTACACTCCCCCTCAACACCAACTTATGCTCATTCGTTGTTCTCGGCCACCTTACGTCAAGAAACGGATCTTCACATAAGTTTGAGCCTGTAATTATTTTCCTCGTGTGCTTTAAGCTCGGTACTCGTACTCTCATTGATAAATGGGCTTGTGGGCTCTTCACACTTGACTGGTCTTCTACTCTTATCCAATTCTCGTTGACTTGCCCACGACATATTTGCCCGTCTTCAATTTTATCTTCATTATTAAATTCACTCTCAAAATCGGAGATTGGAAACATCAAGTTATCAATTGTCATATGCTCATCACTATACTCGACCGAATTTGGAAACTCTTTCGTATCTGCTGTTTCGTCACTTGAGCTTCCTGAGTTATCTATCCACTCATCATCTGAGTCGACAAGCTCAGCGACCGTTGTCGTTAAAGCCATCTCGACTTCTTCACCAACTTCTTCTTCTTCGATTACTGCTGACAGTGCTTCAAGGTCCCACTCGTCTTCACTTTTATGTGCCTCATCCGGCGTGACTGCATTTCCTTCCGCTGGCTTCTTCTTCGACCAACAATTCCTTGCTATATGACCTTTATTTCCACAGTTATAATATTTCCCTTCAAATCTTCTACTTTCTTGAGGTTGATCGCTCAAATTTTCTTTCTTTTGTGCTCCCCCTAAATGAGCACTTCTCTCGTCTTTATCTTTGTCGACGTCGTTTCTTTTCCTCCAATGAAAATTTTTATTGTGTCGATCTCTGATATTCTTTACAAAAAATAAATCTTCATCATTCTTGGATGAGACTTGAAACATTTGCTTAGCTAACGCTTCTTGGTCAGCTAGCAAATTTTCCAACTCAACGAGAGAAGGTTGGGTCGGCCAACCTTGTACAGCAGCAATAAAACTTCTATATTCTTGCCTCAATCCATGAATAATTATTCTCCTTATCCGTGAATCCGACATACCAACAGAAGAATCTAAATTAGAGATTTCACGACAAAGAGACTTTACCTTAGCAAAATACTGGTTTATCGTCATGTCTCGTTGCGTGATGGATAGAAGCTCGTTCTCCAAAAGTTGCAACCTCACATCGTTCTTCTTCGAGAATAACCCCGTTAATATGTCCCATGCGTCCTTTGGTGTCTTCGCGTCTCTAATGTGCTCCAGCATCTCCTCCTCGATCGTGGTCTTGATAGCGAACATGGCCTTGCCAGCTTTAACCTTCCATTTCTTCAAAGATGCAGAGTCCTCCGGTGGTTTAACCTCACTACCACTTACAATCTCCCACAAATCTTGGCCTTGCAAATACGACTCCATGTATGTCGACCACGTGTTGTAATTCTGACTATTTAGCTTCTTGATACCTCCGACCACTTGAAGGTCTGCCATCGTGGCTCCACTCGATCAACTCGCCACACACTCTGCAGTACTAAACTACACACGAACTTCGCAGTACGAAACTGCAAAACTACAACCAAGAAGCCTAACACAATAACTCGTACCTCAACCAACGCCAGACTTAACTCGTCTGGCTCTGATACCAATTGTTAAGTTGGGTACACACACAACACGTGGATACTAACGTAATTACTTTATTAGATTAACAAAATAATTACACGAACACACACTAAGGCTAAAATACAATTCAACCAAAACACTTTATTTTATTAACACACCCACTCACACTTAATATTTTTTTTTTATGTAGACATGTCCTCACAGCTCACACATGTGACACAATCTCACTCACTCTTTTATTTTTATAAACATTCACCTCACTCATTTCTTTTCTTTTGTTTTGATCCCTCAGCACACACAACTCTCTTTCTACACATATATTTATACTTACGTAGGATGATTCTAGACTAGATTATCTTATTCTTTAATTAGTATTAGGTGGAAAATTAATATGTAAACTTTCTCCACTCATCCAGAAGCTTCTCAAAGTTGGTGGTGATATTTTTTACAATTGTAAGTGGTAGTGAGGTTACACCACCGGAAGACTCTGCATCTTTGAAGAAATGGAAGGTTAAAGCTAGCAAGGCCATGTTCGCTATCAAGACCACGATCGAGGAGGAGATGCTGGAGCACATTAGAGACGCGAAGACACCAAAGGACGCATGGGACATATTCGCGGGGTTATTCTCGAAGAAGAACGATGCGAGGTTGCAACTTTTGGAGAACGAGCTTCTATCCATCACGCAACGAGACATGACGATAAACCAGTATTTTGCTAAGGTAAAGTCTCTTTGTCGTGAAATCTCTAAATTAGATTCTTCTGTTGGTATGTCGGATTCACGGATAAGGAGAATAATTATTCATTGATTGAGGCAAGAATATAGAAGTTTTATTGCTGCTGTACAAGGTTGGCCGACCCAACCTTCTCTCGTTGAGTTGGAAAATTTGCTAGCTGACCAAGAAGTGTTAGCTAAGCAAATGTTTCAAGTCTCATCCAAGAATGATGAAGAATTATTTTTTGTAAAGAATATCAGAGATCGACACAATAAAAATTTTCATTGGAGGAAAAGAAACGACGTCGAAAAAGATAATGACGAGAGAAGTGCTCATTTAGGGGGAGCACAAAAGAAAGAAAATTTGAGCGATCAACCTCAAGAAAGTAGAAGATTTGAAGGGAAATATTATAACTGTGGAAAGAAAGATCACATAGCAAGGAATTGTTGGTCGAAGAAGAAGCCAGCGGAAGAAAATGCAGTCACACTGGATGAGGCACATAAAAGTGAAGACGAGTGGGACCTTGAAGCACTGTCAGCAGTAATCGAAGAAGAAGAAGTTGGTGAAGAAGTCGAGATGGCTTTAACGACAACGGTCGCTGAGCTTGTCGACTCAGATGATGAGTGGATAGATAACTCAGGAAGCTCAAGTGACGAAACAACAGATACGAAAGAGTTTCCAAATTCGGTCGAGTATAGTGATGAGCGTATGGCAATTGATAACTTGATGTTTCCAATCTCCGATTTTGAGAGTGAATTTAATAATGAAGATAAAATTGAAGACGGGCAAATATGTCGTGGGCAAGTCAATGAGAATTGGATAAGAGTAGAAGACCAGTCAAGTGTGAAGAGCCCACAAGCCCATTTATCAATGAGAGTACGAGTACCGAGCTTAAAGCACACGAGGAAAATAATTACAGGCTCAAACTTATGTGAAGATCCGTTTCTTGACGTAAGGTGGCCGAGAACAACGAACGAGCATAAGTTGGTGTTGAGGGGGAGTGTAAAAAATATCACCACCAACTTTGGGAAGCTTCTGGATGAGTGGAGAAAGTTTACATATTAATTTGCCACCTAATACTAATTAAAGAATAAGATAATCTAGTCTTGAATCATCCTACGTAAATATAAATATATGTGTAGAAAGAGAGTTGTGTGTGCTGAGGGATCAAAACAAAAGAAAAGAAATGAGTGAGGTGAATGTTTATAAAAATAAAAGAGTGAGTGAGATTGTGTCACATGTGTGAGCTGTGAGGACATGTCTACATAAAAAAAAAATATTAAGTGTGAGTGGGTGTGTTAATAAAATAAAGTGTTTCGGTTGTATTGTATTTTAGCCTTAGTGTGTGTTCGTGTAATTATTTTGTTAATCTAATAAAGTAATTACGTTAGTATCCACGTGGTGTGTGTACCCAACTTAACAAACTTCACCTGTGCAATTGTAAGCTGAGCCGGGTCGGGAGCGTGCGGTTCAAACGTCTGCGCACACTCACCCTCGAACACGTCCAAGTTGATGGTGGGACTTTGGTGAAGATATTGTCGGGCTGCCCTTTGCTCAGCCGCCTGGTTTTTAAGCACTATGTATTGTTTAATTTTGGGAGGATCGAAGGGCGTAGCATCAAAATCGATGTCCCGAATTTTGAGAGGATCGAAGGGCACCTTGTCCTTAAAAGATATGGGGAGTTGAGAAACAACATTAGGCTGAGCAGGGCGCTCAAGCACTTTGAACTGTGTGATTACCAGATCATCGAAGGGCTTAGCATCGAAATCAATGTCCTGAATCTATCCAGGGCCAATGGATTTGGTGTTGGCGCCAAAGGGCATTATTGTTTTCCCATCTCACGAGTTTGTATCTTCAATTTGTTATCCTGTCGAACGAGTCGTTGGACCTATTATCGCTTGGCTGCCCAACTCTTGCGAGCTTGACCCTATGTGATTGCTCTGGTTTCGAGGAATTCCATCTTGCAAGCGATTCGGTCAAGTTCTTGACTATCTCGACCAGCGAAATATTGTTTAAAGGAGTTAGGATTTGTGCCCCGAACATTGTCAGGTTTGATTTTGCCCCTATTCCCCTGACGTCGGACACACTCTCTTTCACGGCTCATTTTCAGTATTGGTACTCAAAAGTAACCCACTATTCGCGCATGGATGGTCCTGATTTCGACGTCACTTTGTGGTTCCTTAAGCTGAGACGAGTGCTCAAGTCACTAAGTGGGTCTCAGATTTTTCTGACTCTGCAGATATACGGCAGCCCTCTGGACGTGCCATGTGGTGCTGTTGACGGAAGTCGTCTTCTCAGTGACGAGCCGCCTGTGGTGGTGCGAAACTTGGAATTTACAACTTCTAGTCGCAGGGAATCTTGGTACTCGGACTTTATGAATTATTTGTTTCGTGTTTGTCGACCGAGTCACGTATGGAATTCTAGGCTCGTGAGCGAGTCGGCCAGGAACCACAGGCTCTCAAAGTTTCAGTTCAACATCTTGCTTGCAAACATGAGCCTCGGAACCTTTTGGCGGCACGATTTGGAGCAAGTGCACGTGAGAACCGTCAATGGGAAAATATGGCAGCTCGTGGAGTGGACGGACCTTTCAGAATTGCGAAACAGGACGTATGACGGGAAAGTATGCCTTCAGTTGAAATGGAGAGGTCAGACGACGGCATAACTACTGCAAACTATCTATGCACTCTTGCTTTTCTTAAAACTTAAAATATCTGGTTTTCTTCCTCTCCAGTTGAAGGCCTAGGCCTATTTTGTATGTTGTGATAATGTTATGAAATCGGGTCAGGATCGGGTCAAGTGTTTGATATCAGAATAGGTTGCCACAAGAATAAAAGATGTAATAATAAGGCAAAAAATGCTGCACAGATATAAATAGACTCACAAAATACGTTTTTTGCCTTTAAATTGGATTTGAAAATTCATTTTGGACAAGTGAAATATACAAATGTGTTCAAATTTTTTCTTTGAAATTTATTAATTTGCATATATTGAAGTTCACATTTTCACAGTTTTGATACCAATAGTTGTTACAAAGTTAGTCTATTTTACCTTAGACCACTAGAAGTGTTAGAGGACAAGGTAACCATCTTATATAAAAGGATATAAAGGATTAGATGTGACTGTCATTATGATTTATCACGCATTAATACACTTTTGATTTAATATATATATGTTTGAGAGATTGACTTGTTCAAGGAATTTGATAATGTAAGTGATTCGATCAAGTACTTGACCCTTTCTACTGAGTTACTGGGTTAGGAAAAGTTCGGTTTGTGTTCCAAACATTGTTAAGTTTGCGTTGAATGCTCGTATCCCCCAACCGGATGTATTCTCTTTCGTGACGACTTACTTCCAAGAAGTGGGAGTTAGATCTAAACCTCATCTCGCATGTGCTTGATCCTTGTATCAACATGGTGTCGTGGTTTTTGAAGCTAAAAAGAATGCTCGAGGCATTGAGTGGGTCTCCAATTTCTCTGTCTTTGAGGAGGAAGGGCAACGTGTCCGAAAGGCTGACGTTCAGTACTGTTGACAGCTCAACATCGGGAAACGATGGCAGCTCATGCAGTGGACGAAGCTGGAAGAGTTGTGAAATCGGGCGCAAGACGGGAAAATTCGCCTTAGATTGAAATGGAGATTGTAAGAATGTATAAGGACACACGTAGCTCGGTTGCTTTTATTGAAATTCAAATATCCTGTCTTATTCCCCTCTCTTTCCCTCCATTAACCAAGGCTTTGATCGTGGTATCATTGCTTTCAAAACTTTCCAGGTCTTGAAGACTTGAAATTCGTAGTTTTGTTTTGTTGGTTTTAGATTTTATTTATTTTGAAATTTTATTTTTTATGAACAGGGAAAATTATGTCCTCTGTAGCTGGGGGATTGGGGATGCCCTTACTACTTATTTTTCTAATTTATTCAAGAGAGCCTATACTTTTCATCTTAGTAGAATCATGTCCTCTTTGATTAGACGTGTCTTAGGTCTGAAATCGTCCTAGTTGTCGTTGGCTCGTCCAAGGTCGAAAGTCCAACCTTTACTTATAGGACTTTCAGGTCGTAATATCTCCTCATATGCCCGAAATCCTTGTAAGTTCGGCCTCTAACCAGGTTGACCCGTACCTGAGATGCCTAAGCAAGCTTCTTGACGAGGTCAGACGTTGGTGCCGACCAGCTAAAGCTCCTTTCTTGGCGTGGTTCACAAAGCTATTCTAGATGTTGATTGTTGTAAATAGTGTAGTTTGTTTGTTTTATGTGTAAGTGTTTCACATACGTTGAAATAATTGTCATTGTATTATGCAAAAATTCAATAGAAGTTCCATTGGAAAGATAATTACAGTGATAGATCCAAATTAATTTCATATTGGGAGCATTATTTAGTTAATAAAAAAAAATATACCATCAAATTAACATGTCATTGCAATTTGTAAATTATACTTTACATAATCTATGCAATCACAATAAGGTAAAATATATTTAAGAAACCAAAAGTCAAGATTTTCTTAAATCAACATAAAAAATTCGTTATATTTGTTGTATTTTTTGTTGGAATTTTCTCATTTTCTTGTAGTAAAACTAGGACTCCAAATCTATTAAAAAAAATGCATTATATATAATATTGTGTATAACTATTATTAAAAAAATTGTTGATACGATAGAAAATATAACACATTCAATGTAATTGGCGTTCAATTTATGATAAGAAGTAATTTTTTTCAAAACAAACAAGATACTTTGAAAGATCTTTAATTATTTTACTAGTATTATAATAACTAAATAAGGGGTAAGAATGATGACAAAACTTATATTTCTCATTAAATCCAAAAATAAAAATGCTGATAAAATTACTTAATGTAACATACTTAAGATACACATATATTTTAACTAGAACTTTTAAGTACATAATATATATATATAGGGATTGGTTCCAATGCATCCACATTCTTAAAGTGAGGACGCGAGACTCATTTTTAGCCACAAAATTTGGTACATAATGTGTGGTCAAGATTTAATCTCTTTTCTTTTTTTATTTTAATTATTTAATATTATTTTGACCCGTTGACTCCCGCGTTGACCGTTGACTCCGACGTTGACTTCCAGTGAAAATCCAATGACTTCCGGCATTGACCGTTGACTTCCGTCGTTGACCGTTGACAACTAAACTTGCAATTAAATATAAATAACCTAGCATGTTAGGTTAATTGTCTGATGGTGCCAGGTTAGTTGTATGATTGTGCTAGGTTAGTAGTTGTTAGGTTAGTTGTATGATTGTGCTAGGTTAATTGTCTGATAGTGTTAGGTTAGTTATCTGATGGTGCTAGGTTAGTTTTCTGATGGTGCTAGGTTAGTTGTATGATATTTGTGCTAGGTTAGTTGTCTGATTGTGCTAGGTTAGTTG